AGCTGTATAGGGGACTACAAATCCCAGCAATAGTACATTATACAGCGCAATGCAGAATACCACCAGCTGTAGAGGACTACAAAACCCAGCAATAGTACATTATAGCTGGCGGTATTCTGCATTGTGCGGCATAATGTACTATTGCTGGGCTTTGTAGTCCTCTATAGCCGGTGCCATTCTCCATTAATTGCTGTATAATTTTACACTTTTAATTTCACTATATTGCACACCACACTTTTTTTTTTTTCTTTTTTACTTCCACCGGTCCAAGCTTGCTCCTGTGATGGACTACAATCTCAATACAAACTAGTAGTCCCATCACTGGAGCCATTTTTTACATTTATTTTATTTTTATCCGATTAACCGATTAATCGAACTTAATAATCGGCTAACTAATCGATTTTTAAAATAATCGTTAGCTGCAGCTCTAGTTGGATGAATCCCTGTCCTCGGTAAATGTATAGAAGTCCCGTTTTCAGACTCGCAGTACTTCCCTAACACGCACTAACACTCAGGGCACCCCTTGCGTGACCTCGAAATTCCCAAGTACCCAGACATTACAGGGTTAGGGTTTGTTCTTGTCCTTACCTTCTATTTCTAGAATAGGATTCTGCTCTATGAGACTTTGCATCAACAGTATAACATGGACATACTTTATATGTGTACTACACGCCACCGTCATGTTACTATGGACACACCATTTACTTTATGTGTACTACACGCCACCGTCATGTTACTATGGACACACCATTTACTTTATGTGTACTACACGCCACCGTCATGTTACTATGGACACACCATTTACTTTATATGTGTACTACACGCCACCGTCATGTTACTATGGACACACTATTTATTTTATATGTGTACTACACGCCACCGTCATGTTACTATGGACACACCATTTACTTTATATGTGTACTACACGCCACCGTCATGTTACTATGGACACACCATTTACTTTATGTGTACTACACCCCACCGTCATGTTACTATGGACACACTATTTATTTTATATGTGTACTACACGCCACCGTCATGTTACTATGGACACACTATTTATTTTATATGTGTACTACACGCCACCGTCATGTTACTATGGACACACTATTTATTTTATATGTATAGTACTACACGCCACTGATGGGTGCGGACACATATAAGGACTGAAAGGAATTTGGGTAGGGGGGGTTGCAGACACATTTGTTTTGTGTGGACTATTGCGGTCATTTCTGCTTTTGAAGAGTTTAGGAGAAGAGAAGTGGCAGAATGTGGTATTTGGTGGCGGTACCTCGCGGGTGGAATGAGTCTTCTAGACACTCCATCCTGTCTGTTCTCTAGAAACGTTTCCTGGAAAACAGAACAGAGCGGCATCAGAAGGTGAGAACAGTGACTGCGACCCCATCTCAGTGCAAACCTTCCATACATACAGAGATTCCCAACATATTTCACCTGCTGGACAGAATATCACTATTATCTCCTCTGTCCAGTCTGGAGAGGACAACGTCTCACTATTATCTCCTCTGTCCAGTCTGGAGAGGACAACGTCTCACTATTATCTCCTCTGTCCAGTCTGGAGAGGACAACGTCTCACTATTATCTCCTCTGTCCAGTCTGGAGAGGACAACGTCTCAATATTGTAAATAGATAATCTGCGCTTCTGGAGAGAGGTAGTAAGAAAATTAAGTGAATACTTAATAAAAAATGGTAGTATAGAAGGAATAAATAAGTGATTAAATGATTAAAAATAGTGAACAAATCTAATAAACCCAAAGCAGCTCTAAAAAGGGGATTATAGAAATCCCTACGGTAATCAATCAAAATAAAAAGCGCTAAAGGTATTAAATAATTGTGTATAAAAAGTGGAAGATAGGTTTTCAGGCGGGTCGGCCTGGAGCCTATTAATGTATATGAAATGTGATTAATAAACCAATACAAAATTGCTGTGATAAAGATAAAAATAAAACATAAAAACCAATCAAATTGTCCAATAAAGTCATATAAAAATCCTGTGAAACATCAAAAAGTGTTCTTTATGGAAAAAAATCTCCCACAGGGTTTTAGAGACGAACAAAGAAGAGAACCTTCATAGCGTAATATGTAAAACGTAATATGGTAATAACGTAATAACCCTGTGGGACCACGACAAAGCACTTCACCAACACCGCGTCTAAAAGGATCGATCTCCTCATCCCTGAGACATATCCAGCGCCATAGGGGAGAAAGCCAAGTGTTCGTCTGCCGGGACTCGTGGACAACACGTTTGCGCTCAAGTCCAACTACGCTATTACTCACTAAGAGCTCTTTTGATCAGCTTCTATTTGGTGAGTACCCGCCCGAGAGGGGCAGTTCGGACCACCTTAAATACACTGATACATTTTGTTTATACACGGGGTTCACCGTTCACCGATTTTTTTCCATAAAGAACACTTTTTGATGTTTCACAGGATTTTTATATGACTTTATTGGACAATTTGATTGGTTTTTATGTTTTATTTTTATCTTTATTACAGCAATTTTGTATTGGTTTATTAATCACATTTCATATACATTAATAGGCTCCAGGCCGACCCGCCTGAAAACCTATCTTCCACTTTTTATACACAATTATTTAATACCTTTAGCGCTTTTTATTTTGATTGATTAACGTCTCAATATTATCTCCTCTGTCCAGTCTGGGAACAGGACAGATAGATAGGTGAACAATGTCCTTAAAAAAAAGCAGAAATTTATTTGGGGAGAGAGGAGACCCTAGGCCTCGAGACAACCTTGTCCTTATGCCGGACAAGGAAGGGCTCCTTAGGTGATAAGGCTGCCAACTCACAGACTTGCCTCACAGAGGTGATGGTAAGAAAGACCACCTTGTGGGTGAGAGCAGAAAGGGAGCTATTCCTTATGGGCTCGATAGGCAGTCTCTAGAGGGCTGACAGTCACAGGCATATATACTCTTTTCTACTTTTAACTCTCTACCATGTCCTCCACCGCCCACTAACTCACTCACTGCCCAGTACATTGCCATTCATTTCCAAATCAAAATAGATACAATTCGGGATCAGATCACCGCTGTCCAATCAACTTCCCCTATTAATGTAGCAGACCCTCCATCACACTTGTTACTGCCCTCTTTTGACCCGGTAACCACAGAGGAGGTTACAAAGCTTTTCTCTGACACCCACCTCACCGCTACTTCGATCACCCTCTAACTCTACCCTAGACTCTCTTACATTTTCAATCTCTCCCTCTCTACTGGAAGCATGCCCTGGTCACCCCAATACCCCAAAAACCCTCAATGGACCCTACCGACCTCAACAATCACAGACCAATCTCCTTACTCCCATTCATCTCCAAACTCCTAAAACGCCTTATCTACAGCCGCCTGAGCCGCCAGCTCACTGATAACAACCTTCTCCACTCCTTACACTCCGCTGAGACTCTGCCCCCTACACTCCGCTGAGACCGCCCTTCTCAAACTCACTAATGACTTACTAACAGCTAAGCTGGTTCCATTCTTAGAGCTCCCCAGCACAGGTGTTTGTTTATTTTTAGGGATGTCCCAATACCGATGCTAGCATCGGAATCGGGCCCGATACAGGGCATTGTGACAAGTACTTGTCAAAATGCCCCGAAGCCTAGCGCCGAAGCTTGCGCTATGTTTTTTTTTTTCTTCTTCTTACTTACCTCGCCGAGCGTCGCGTCACTGCGTCACGGTGGGGTTCTAATTTAGCGGGCAGGCACCTCTAAGCCAGCTAAATTAGGACCCCACCTGGAGCTCCTCCCACTGGACCAGCGCGCCGCTGACTCGTCCCTGCTCTCTCCAGCACACGGACACAGTGAGTGAGGGCAGATTGGGGGGGGGGGATTTTTGAAACAATTATGTATTGTTTGCACTGTATTAGCAGTATATACTCTATATGTAATACATATAGAGTATATACTGCTAATACAGTGCAAACAATACATAATACCATGAATGGATAAATGATCTGTATGTAGCCCTGTACTAGGGATCATTTAACCCATTCATGTTAGCAGAGGATCATTGTAAATGTATTGTTGCAGGCACTCTATATGTACATGTACTATATACTACATATAGAATGCACTGAACAATAGATTTACAATTATCCTCTGCTAATATGAATGGGTTAAATGATCCGTAGTACATAATATGTAGCCCTGTACTACGGATCATTTAACCCATTCATGTTAGCAGTGGAGAATTGTATATCTATATGTACTGTACATATACAGCACAAATGTCCCGTACATTGCAGCATTAGATTTACAATAATCCCCGGCTAACATGAATGGGTTAAATGATCCTTAGTGCAACTACATGTTATGTACTATGGATCATGATTTAACCTATTCATGTTAGCAGGGGATAATTGTAACTCTATTACTGCAGTGTACGGGACGTATGTGCTGTATATGTATTATGGATCATGATTTAACCTATTCATGTTAGCAGGGCAGAATTGTGAGCGCCTCCCACAAGCTGAGCACCGAGATGCGATGCAGCGATCCTGCCCAGCGCCGACTACAAGAGGCATCGCGTGAGGCTACGGGGATCGGAGTGAAACTGTGAGTAAGGGAAGCTGGGATGGGGCTGGCTGTAAATCTATTGCTATAGTGTACTGGACGTGTGTAATGTATATGTAGTGCATATATACAGCATACACCTCCACTACACTCCAGCAATAGAGTTACAGTTCTCCCCTGCTAACATGAATAGGTTAAACCATGATCCATAGTACATAACATGTAGTTGTACTATGGATCATTTAAAGTCACCTGTCCCTTTAAGAAAAAGTATTGGTAATTGGTATCGGCAAGTACATGAGGGGATGTACTTGTACTTGTACATGGGACTGAAAAAGTGGCATCGGGACATCCCTATTTATTTTTATAGCTGTCAGACAGGAAGTGATGTCAGACAGGACGTGATGTCAGACAGGAAGTGATGTCTCAAACAGCAAACCAGGAAGTGATGTCAACAACCAACATCACTTCCTTAATACATCAACATATCGTAGCCAATAAAAGGGAGTGTATGTCTGTATCAGACCCACAAATACAATCTCCCATTATCACTGGAGCAAACCTTATCCAGCACGGCTCAGTGAGCAATGCCCAATACCGTTCAGGGACAATGCCATACCATTTCCAGCGCGCTGATCAGAAGCATAAGAAATACGAACACACGTTCCTTTCAAAAAGGCAGATATGTATCTTAAAGGAGAACTATGAGGTCAGTGTTTTTCCCCATAGTTCTCCTTAGGGTTACGGGAGGGCACAAACTAGCGTCCTCCTCCCGTCACCCGAGGCTCAGTATATAGGGAGCTACAGCTCGCGGTATACTGAGACGCCGGATCCCGACAATTATGCCTGGATCCGCCCAGCTGCGTGAGTGACAGAGGCAGAGCCAGCTGTACCCACCCCCTCCCCCGTCCGTTCCGCCAGTCAGCGCTGGCAGATCGGAGCGGGGGAAATCCAGCCCCTCCCCTGTCACGGCAGAGAGCCGCGACCGGGACGGGAGGTGGGCGAAAGCCGGTATGTGTTCATTGTCACAGGTCGGCTAGAACTATGAGGTGAGTGAAAAGCACCCCCTCATAGTTCTCCTTTAAATAATACTATGTCCTCAAAGCAAATGCATACACGCCATGCCAATAAATATGCGCACCGCGCAGGGGCCCTAGCCTGGCGTCCACACACTCGCTAAGAGAACATTGCTCCGCCACGCATATCCACTCCAATGGTTTATTCCCAGTGCCTGAATAATCCAGGTCACGCTCCAATCGAGCGTGACGCAGAAATCCGGACACAGAGACATGATGACAATATTACACTAAAAACACATCCTAGTAACATTTCCACAGTGTTGTGGAAATGTTATCTCCTCAGACTGCGAGTGGACAGGAAGTCTCTGTGCTGAGCACTTCCTGTTCAGTGAGTGCTGAGGAGAAGAAAATTGAAGACTATGTTTGGACCACCGATATCCCCCCCAAAGCCCCTTGACAGTAATGTAAACCTCCCCCCCAACATAACATACATGTGCAAAGGTGTGCAGCATACTGTGATATGCGCTGAAGAACATTGTTACAACATGGCTTGATTTTTTTCTTAACATTAATTCAGCTCTGCGCGATTAAGCGTATGCCGATCACAACGCACGGGCGTGAGACCAGCCTCCAGATATTGAGGGTTTTTTACTGTTTCACACAAATATTTGTAATCTGAATCTTATCTTTTAGATTTAGAATCTTGTGAATGACATTGTGTGTGCCGATAATGATTTGACTGGATTGTTAAGCAGAAATATTGTTTTGATAAAACATTTGTCACAGGAACCCACAAAATCCGTAGCGTCATCTTTCTGTTCTAGTGGTCCCGCTCCTCCAGAAATGTGGAGGTCTTTGAAATTGGCCCAGCCAGTGAGGAAAGGGTTAATGAAGGACCACTGGAGTCCCTTACCTCGGTACTCGGGTCCTCCTCTTGGCTTTCTCCTGGTTTCACAGCTGCAGTAGTCACCAATGGAGCTGAAAGAGATCGGCATTATTAAGTCCATATTCTGGTACACATCATAACCATTCATCTTGGAGAATTCAGGAGAAATGCTTCTGGAAGATCCATTCCCCTATCCATGTGATCTCTTCGGGTTTTAGAAGAGGGGAACCAAGCATTTAGGAGGAGGGGAAGCATGCGGCTCTTATAAGATTTCAATAATAGTTTGGATTGTTGGAACAGGAACAAAGCGAGTCTAAATCCCCGCTCCCCCCACCCCCATGCTGCTTTATGGACTTACGTAGAGCTGCAGCTAACGATTATTTTCAAAATCGATTAGTTAGCCGATTATTAAGTTCGATTAATCGGTTAATCGGATAAACTATAAAATAAAGTTTAAAAAATGGCTCCAGTGATGGGACTACTAGTTTGTATTGAGGTTGTAGTCCATCACAGGAGCAAGCTTGGACCGGTGGAAGTAAAAAAGAAAAAAAAAGATAGTGTGGTGTACAATATAGTGAAATGGAAAGTGTAAAATGATACAGCAATGCATGCAGAATGGCAACGGCTATAGAGGATACAAAACCCAGCAAAAGCACATTATACAGCACAATGCAGAATACCGCCAGTTATAGAGGAATACAACAAATCTCAGCAATAGTACATAATAGCCAAAATAAGTGGGCATCTCTGGCGGGTCCCATTTCATACAGGGAAGCTACAAGACTGGCTGTGGGATTATTGTGGAGGGAGAGGATTCACCACATCATGCATGATCTCAAGCCTGGGGATCGAAGGGGCCCAGAGCACCCAGTCCAACCTTCTCTGAAGCCCTTTCAGCAAAAGTGGAGCTCACCAAACAGGGTGGAGAGTGGGATCTTATAGAATCATCCCGGGCTTCCCTCAATGGTATGAAATTGGTCCGATGAGAATGGCAGAGGACAGGGAGGGCGGGTTCCTTCTTTATGGATAAACATAATCAGCACTAACAGGGCCGAGGAAGTTCCTCTTTATCTATCAGAGAATTAGCATTTGGATTTTAAACAGGGAAACCGGCCTTTCCAAGTCATCCATGATAGACCATGGGAGTAGGAGTCTACGATAGACCATGGGAGTAGGAGTCTACGATAGACCATGGGAGTAGGAGTCTACGATAGACAATGGGAGTAAGGGGAATAGTCTCTAACCCATTCTCGTCTCTCCAATGTCCTCATTGGTAGGTGAAGGTATATCCTCCAGTGTGCGAGGCTTTGGTAATCAGCACCTTATGACCTTCAGACAACTCTACAGACGTATTAAGCTCAGAAGAAGAGAACATGGAGTGCGGGACTGAGCTGTGTATCTCTAATAGTGTCTATGGTCTCACTGGGAGGCATTACCGGCTACAACCATAGATTTCCAGAAATGCTGATTTTCCAGTGGAGGTGTCAAGATTCGGGGGGGGGGGCATTTGCTGGACATTGGGGTGTATAGGGTTGGAAGGGTAACTCTGGAACTAACCCTAAGACAAATGACCCCACTGGAACATTCCCCCCCACCTGCTGTTCTGGTGACAAGTCTAAAATGCGTGATTTCCCTTCACTTAGCGTATAGACATTGTAAATCCTTCAGCATTGGTGGATGTTGTTTTCTGGATCTCCTCAATTGTCTGATGTCCCTCAGGGGTGTGTACAAAGGGGGAAGGGAGGGTCCACTCACCTGTCAGCTCCTGCATGGTGACCTTATCCAGGATTTTAAAGGACGTGTCCAATTTCAGCGGCTGACAACATCTCTGACACACAAAGCTGACTTGCATGGTGGAGGATTTAGACGTCTCCATCTTCTCGCATATTGGGGGATGGGCAACCCAAAACAGAAACAGAAGAAGCTTCAATCAGAAGATCGTCTAAAATAATTCTGCCTGGTGTAACCAATCAGATCCTACGGTTTATGTTCAGACCTTCACAGGTACAATAGATGGATTCTGCA